TTTCCCAAACCGCATATATGCAGGCAGGTCCAAATAGCAAACCAAACCGTCCATAACTAAACCACGAGCGCCCCTAGTTTGAAGCATCATTTATAAATGCTTTGCTTCTTAATTTTGAAGGAAAATGTTATTTTTTCTTGATGTAATGTGACATATATTTGGATGAAACAAAAAAAAAAAAGCAAAATAAATAAATAAAATTGTTACATTGGTTTGAAAAAAGGGACCATCGCTCCGCCATCCATATATTGGCCTCGTTTGGTAGAGTTGTGGGAAAGTGTGAGATTATGGATGAATAAGTTGTAAAATAACTTTTTACTGTGTAATGTCCTTTTTGCCCCCCTCATTTTTTTCCTTTCATTTTATTTTATTTTATTTTCTTCTTCTTTCTTTTTTATTTTTTCTTCTTTTCTTTTCTTCTCTTAATTGTTTTTTATTCTCTTCTTTCCTTATTTTTTTTTTCTTTTCTTCACTTTTTTTTTCTTTTTCTTAATTTTTTTTTCTTTTCTTTAGTTTATATTTTATTTTTTCAAATTAGAAGTGGTGCAAGCACGGTGAGATTGATCATGAGAAAATTTAAAAAAAATTTGAAATATCAATTAAAATTTTCAAATTATATTCATTTAGTTTATAAATACATGAATATTAATTGATATTTTTTTAATTTATTAAAAATTGTTACAAATGCCAATTAATATTTTTTTAATTTAATCTATTATCAATTAATGGCTTAATTAGTATCAATAAATACTAAAATTATTAATTAGTATCAATCAATATAAAAATTTATTTCATTAATGGCGTAAAATGCTTTATTTTTATTATTATTTTTTAAAAAAAAAATTAATAAAAAAAACACTAAAAACCCTAGCCCCGGCAATGTCGCTACCCCCTCCACGTACCCAAAAGTTAAGCATCGTGATGGCCAGTAACTGAAGTTACCTCCGGCCAATTCTTGAACAAATTAATAAATGCAAGCGGAAATAAAATTTAAGTGAGGGTACCAAAATAATCATTGGAGCTTCTATTTTTATTACAAAATTTATTGACCAAAAGGCTGATATTTACATATAAAAATATCATAAAAGTGCTGTGTGTGTCTATTCCGCAGCTCTGCGTCTAAGACTTTTCAAAAGTTATTTCTGAATTGCATTGTTTCCTGAAAATTGGTAAACAACTATAAGCACATGGCAGCGTGAGAAATATTATGCCAAGAGTATAAAGGACACAAAATAACTATAGATAGTTATGTAACTAAAATATTTAAAATAACTTAGTCTGAACAAATAATCATTTAAGTAGCAAAACTGAGATTATGTAAATAAATAACCATAACCACGGTATCGAACAAAACAGAACAGAGGTTACATGAGTGACAGTCTGAATAGAGGTACGGATTCAATAGGTGGCTCGTATGGATTATAGAGGTGGCTCCCACAATAGTGTAGCACTTATCTCCACATAACACTTTGCTCCGCACAGAACAGAGGTCAATAGATCTATGACAACAGAGGTCACAAAGTGACTATACAGAGGCCAATGGTTATTTAAGTCCCCCATGATGTGAGACTCTCGTGGTGGTACTTACAAAACATAATTGTTTATAAGGTCATAGTCAAATATTCTTTAAAATATAAACAAACATATCAATGGGTTTCATTTTAAGTAAACAGGGGTCAGAAAATAACCCACGTAATTGAAATATTAATATAATTTATAAAACATAACTTGTATAAAATAAATTATGGTAAGTCAAAACATACGTAAAATATATCATGGTAACTCAAGGTATAATATAGCTCACCTTAAAAGTAGTACCTTACTCTTTCCTTTCCACTACCAAAAACTCTTTCGACTTCCATTATTTTTTTTCCCTTTTCTTCGCTTCCTTTTCCCTCACTCCTTTCACTCAAATGGCAGTCGCCTATTCTCTTATATATACACAAGCACAAGATGCCTAACCATGGAGACTCACCTCACCTAAGGCCTAGATAACACATATGGCATAACCTCTTTTCCCTGTAGAGATTTACAAATCCCTTAATTAATTGTCGGTTAATTAATGTTACCCTTATCATTTGTTATTGGCCTTATCACTTTGGTGTGGTTATTATTAATTATCGTTATTATTCTTATTTCATATATTTATTTATTTATTATTATTATTACCACTATTATATTTATTTATTTTTAATAATATATTATCGCATATAACCATAATACTAATATAAAATTTAAGAGACAACTTAAATTTTTGGATTATTACAGGCTACTCCTTCTTCTCCTCTTATCCCTCGCCGTCATTTCATCGTATACACGGAACAACACCGGAGAGAGAGAGAGAGAGCTCTAGTTCACCAAAAAGGGAGCTTCACCGAGATAATTTCTCCATCGATCGCAATGGGAGATGGGGGACGACGACGAAGGCACAGTAGCGACATGGTGGCACTAGGATTTAAGATCGCAACGGCGAAAGGTCGATTGTGATGGCATGGAAGGGATTCAGATCAATCATAGTGTCACGACCCGCTCTCCGTACCCAAGGGTTAAGTATCGTGATGGCCAGTAACTGAAGTTACCTCCGTCCAATTCTTGAACAAATTAATAAATGCGACCGGAAATAATATTTAAGTGAGGATACCAAAATAATCATCAGAGTTTCTATTTTTTTACAAAATTTATTAAAAAAAAATGCCAATATTTACATATAAAAATATTATAAAAGTGCTGTATGTGTCTATTCTGCAGCCCCGCATCTAAGACTTTCCAAAAGCTATTTCTGAATTGTATTGTTTCCTGAAAATTGGTAAACAACTATAAGCACATGGCAGAGTGAGAAATATTATGCTAAGAGTATAAGGGACACAAAATAACCATGGATAGTTATATAACTAAAATATTTAAGATAACTTAGTCTGAACAAATAATCATTTAAGTAGCAAAACTGAAATTATGTAAATAAATAACCATAACCACGGTATCGAACAAAACAGAACAGAGGTCATAGGAGTGACAGTCAGAACAGAGATATGGATTCAAGAGGTGGCTCGTACGGATTATAAAGGTGGCTCCCACAATAGTTTAGCACTTATCTGCGCATAGCACTTTGCTTCGGACAAAACAGAGGTCAATAGATCCAGGACAACAGAGGGCCACAAAGTAGTCAAACAGAGGCCAATGGTTATTTAAGTCCCCCCAGGTGTGGGACTCAAGTGGTAATATTTACAAAACATAATTGTATATAAGGTCATAGTCAAATAATCATTAAAAGTTAAACAAACATATCCATAGGTTTCATTTTAAGCAAATAGGGTTTAGAAAATAATCCACGTAATTGGAATATTAATATAATTTATAAAACATAAACTTTTATGTAATAATTTATGATAAGTCAAAACATACATAAAACATATTATGGTGACTCAAGGCATAATATAACTCACCTTAAAATTGATCCTTAACTTTTATTTTCCTAATATCGACTTCGTGTTTCTTTGTATATATGCTGCCCTCCCTACCTAGCACTCTACTACTCCCTCTATTTATAGTTGGTGAAAACCCCTTAATCCTTAATCAAGTGTAACATGTGGCAAGCTTACCACCTAGCCATTTATCCAATAGGTTTCCACATGTCCCTCTAGATTAGATGACTCACCAATTCTTTAAAACCATTCATGCATAGTCATCAATCTACAGGCTAGGCAAGAGAAACGTAGGGTCCTCTCTCTCTCTCTCTCACTTTTTTAATTATAATTTGGCCCAAATTTTAAACTAATTATATGTTTTTTTTATAATAAATAATCCCTAATTTAATTACACTTTATCTCATACATCCATAACATTTAATATTTTATTTTACTCTTATGGATATTTAATTAAACATTTAGGATTTTTCTCATTTATAATTAAATAATACTAATATAAAATTTAAAATACAACTTAAATTTAGAATTGAGAGAGCTCCAGCATCAGATCGTCATCATTGTTAGATCGTCACCTGCAAAACCCTAGCCAGCAATCATCATCATTAGATCGTGAGAGAGAGAGAGAGAGGGAGAGAGAGAGCTTTTGGTTCGCGCCATTGGAAATCGCTGCAGAAAATCGCCTCTCAAGTTTTCTCTCTTTGAAGAAGTGACCAATGTTTGGTTGTGGATTTATATATTGGTTTTTTGGTACTAGTAGAAATTGATGAGGGACATTTATGTAATTTTGCCTCTCCCTTCCTAGCTTGCCGCTCAAGTTGAATCTGTTAAGCACCCCCACAGCCACTTCAAGAAAAAACTGATTTTTCACTTACAAAAAACAATAATCTGTATTATTAAGTTACACCAAACACAATGAAACAACTTAAATTAAGTTAAAAGTTAAAATAAGCTGAAAAAAAAATCTACCAAACAAGCCCATGGGGATGAATGCTCCCAACCCATGCAAGGTACTTGAAATCCCCAACCCTCCAAAATAAAGGATAATTAAGCCTTTCTAGACTAATAAATAATAATCAAATTAATTTTTTCCCCTTTATGTAGCACTCAAACAAGACCTAAAGATATAGAATACAATACAAGCACAATTAATGGTCTCAACCCCTCTCCAAGAAAGTGTTGTGCTTCATTTTATGAGCTTTACTAAACTTTGAGCAAATGTGATTTGTAATTTTATTGCAAATTCATAAACATCCTTTCTGGAAGCTTAAACATAATATGAAAAAGATAGTAGATAATTATCATAATAATAAGAAATGTATGATAATAAAAACATATATCATGCAAGATGAAATTATAGTCTCAATTTCACCATAATTCACCTAAAATCAACTAGTATTAGAGAGTGCTCTGTCTTTTGTATTTTAATTTCTCTCTGTCTTTTGTATTTTAATTTGTGTTTGTCGATATCAATTTACTGTCAATGACTAGTCTGCGAAACTTTTTAGGATAGATGGATTGCTTGGCACCATTAGTTAATAGAAACAAAAACAGAAAAAGCATCAAATTACGAGTCAATTAGTTGAATTCAACATGGTACACCTCTGTCATATTTGGATAGTACAATCCAAAATTCTGCTCAATCCCAGGACGTTTGTGATTCTCATTAAACACAGCAAACACATAGGTCTCTATGCTCTTCCCAGGCCTCTTTGGGGTACCTAATGTCCCTGAAACATGCTCAATCATCTTCCCATTATACATTTCAGCATTTTCTACACTTGCTGCTATCTCACCATCTCCATCAGATGGCCATCCACTCTCTGATACAACAATCTCAACGGCCTCACCACCTGCCTTCTCTAGTGCAGAGTACACTGAATCAACAATAGCATCAAACAAACACTTGTACTCTAGCGTACCATCCCTCACAACCACATCATTACTGTTTAGCAATGCATAGGACAATTGAATCTCATTTGGCTTATCTATGTATGCAAAGTAAGGGTACACATTGACTTGCAAAGGGCTCTTATTTTCTTCTAAAAATGAAAAGATTTGTCCCATTTCAGAGCTCACAAAGAGGGTATGAAATCCCAAGGATTTGTGCTGAAACCGATGTGGTTACTTTGATGTTTCCTAGATTAGCTGATTCTAAAGCTGTTTTGAGATTTTCCATGGCTAGGAAAACATATAGGGATAGGTCACCGGGGATGACTTCGTTGCCAGCAGATATGCAGAGGAATCGAATTATGTCCGAGTATGGAGCTATGTTGGTGTTGATCCAAGTTGCGGCATGTGAAACATTAGTTGATAGGTCTTGGAGGTCTTGGTCTAAGGTTTCGAGGATGACTTTGATTCCTGAATTTTTCAGAGCTGTGAGGACATCGAGGTTTGGGTCGAAGAGGTGTGTTTTTGTTATGTTTCTTGATTTTAGAAGTGCAATGACTTGGTTTGGTGGTGGGAGGTTGTTTCCTAGTAGGCCATAGTTTACTCCAACTACTCCAGCTTCTGTATTAAGACGAATCATGATTTGCATAAATTGAACATAAAGTAGAAATTGTTGGAGAAAAATGGTTGAATAAGAAATTGCCTCATAAATATGTATATAACTCACACATTTAAGGCTCATCAGTTTTACAAAATTGATTGGGCAGTTTTGCTAGCATTAGTAGCCAGCCTTGATGGCTAGAGGCTCCTCCCTTCTCCCCCATGGTATATAAAAGGAGGCCCTATTCCTTGAAAAGAGATATAGAATTTTTCCTTGACATCCATACACTGTCAGTCTACTTCTCCTATAATTTTCTTCCTGAGAGAGAGTGCTGTCATTGTCCATTCGCTAAGCTAATCAGAATGTGCTTCTATTGTAGTTGGTAAAAACCGTCATATCCAGGGAAGTAGACGCCGGCGTACCTCCAGCACCCAACGGTGAGGCGGCGAATTTATTTTAAGGAGACTGTGGTATCACACAGGCTTCGGTTTGCTTCCTTTAACCATTTTATATTTTATCTGTATTTTATTCAGCATGTTATTTTTCCTGGGATTGAAGGTTTGTTTTGTTCATCTCATAATTTTTCGATATGCAATGTGAAATTATATAATGTGAGTAGTTTTTCCCAACAAGCTTAAAATAGATTCAACGTTTATCATAGAATTAGATTAATAGATTCATAGGTGTGTGTAATAATTTTGCATGTAATTGGCCACTGGTAGTACTAGCGAGTGTAGACACCCCATTTTTGACCGACCTTAAGACTCAGACGTCACCGATTGAGCGCTTGGGGATGTTGCATAATGTGCTCGTTCAGAAGTTTCAGAGTCGCGGCCGTAAGCCCTGCCTCCGGACTTCCGAACAATCTACTGTACTGGTCTTCCCATGGCATGGAATATGCCACTGTTATCAATAGGGAAGAAGAGTTCTATTGGTGCAACGTTAATTCACTGTATTTTCTGATTAATTTATTAATTTGTGGTGTACCGGTTCATGCCTTGTATTTCTAGATTTACATGCTCTAGATTTACATGCTTCTAGTTTACAATATAAATTACATGTTCATTCGGGTTTAATTTTTAGTGTAATTTACATTTCTAGCATGTTTATTAGGTAGTAATTTTTCATGTAACTTGTACCTATTAATCTTTAATTTAGGTGTGGAGTTGTAAAGTTTACAACTTGCCTATATTTAAATTCATATTAATTTCTCTAGAATTATTTGCACGTTAATCATGTCATTTGCAATTCTTGCCTCAATTAATTACATGTTTAGTATACCATAAGTTCATATGTAACCTTTACCAATTTAAAATATGGTTTAATTATATTTAATTTAGGTCTGTAACTTATATAGTTAATTACATGTTTATTATGTAATTAATTTTTACAGTTTTTTTAGTTTAAATTCTAGATGTGTAACTTAAGGGTTGGTTTTAATCTTTACTTACAGTTATTTATTAGTTTGTTTGCTAGTACCCTCCCTTTCAATCACTACTTTGCCAAAAGCAAAGAAAAGCTGAGGGAGGTTTTGTTGTATTTTGCTGGTAACTCTTTATTACAGGAATACCTATGGAAATGGGAAAGAAGATTAATTTGGACTAAATATTTGAAGCAATTGTTTGCTTGAGTGTTCATTTGTGATTATTCACCAATATGTAAAGCACGTTTTATTTGCTTGTAATTATTGTAGCAATTTTGTTGTAATTGCTTGTACAGTTTGGAACTTGGTGTGTTTAACCTAGTTCATCCCTTGGAAAATTTAATTCTTAAAGTTGTTTCCCATGGACTAGGAGTCAACATGCTCTTGAAAGTTTTGTCTAAGGTTAACTGGGTTTTAAGTGGGACCGGTGTGACCCCTCCAGTCTTCCTGGAAACTTTCCTGACCATGTTCGATTCTAGGTTGCGTGGTGAGACTAGTTTTGAATTAAATTTCCAATTGTGGGATTTTCTAGTGTTAAGTTTGATTTCTGGAAATACAGAATAGTGAAAATTCTGCGATAATTTTTCAGAAATGGCAACGGTCTCTAATGCTGCTACTGCTGCTGCTAATGTTGGTGGGGATCCAAACCTTGGGGCGACTGGCTTGCCAACCCCTGTTGTGACCTCTGTGGTCCATCCTCCTGTTGTTACTCCGGCTGTTCCGAGAGGACCGCTCAATCATCACGAGCGCCCGGAGAAGTTCACGAGAGTGAATTTCAAGAGATGGCAGCAGAAGATACTGTTTTATTTGACTATTCTAAGCCTTGCGAGGTTTCTGAGTGAAGATGTACCAGCCGTAGAAGAGAATGAGCAAGATAAACAAAAGCTCATGGCTCTGGATGCTTGGAAACAAGTAGACTTCTTATGCCGGAATTACATTCTGAACGGCTTGGCGGATCCGCTTTTCAACGTGTTCTATGCCAAGAAATCGGCTAAGGAGTTGTAGGATACCTTGGACAAAAAGTACAAGACTGAGGATACTGGTGTAAAGAAATTTATCGTCGGCCGGTTTCTAGACTTCAAAATTGTGGACTCTAAAACTGTCCTGAGTGAAGTCCAAGAGTTCCAAGTGATTCTGCATGAGATATATGTAGAAGGGATGGTCCTAAGTGAGTCATTCCACGCAGCTGCTTTGATTGAGAAGCTGCCTAACGGCTGGAAAGACTTCAAGAACTACTTGAAGCACAAACGAAAGGAGATGACAGTCGAAGAGCTCGTTGTCAGGCTCCGGATTGAAGAGGACAACAGGAAGAAAGGAGGGAGTACCTCCACTGTCAAAGCTAACATGGTTGAGCATGGCGAGTCCTCGAGGGCGAGGAAAAAACCATCGACAGGAAAAAGCTCAAAGTTGGGGGCTAAAGGAAGAATCTCCAAAAGGCCAGCCAACAAGCCAAAGGAGCCTACTTTTAGGTTCGATGGCAAATGCTTCAACTATGGAAGTGACGGGCATCGCGCGGTTAATTGTTTGAAGAAGAAGCCCTACAGGAAAAACCCTTCCCAACACAAAAACCAGGCACATATGGCTGAAATGGAGGAATTGTCACACGATGTGGATGACATGCATCTGTCAGCCGTCGTGTCAGAAGTGAACATGGTGGGGTCAAACCCGAGGGAGTGGTGCGTAGACACTGGGGCCACTCGCCATATTTGTGTAGAGAAGAGAATGTTCACAATTGTCGAACCGGTTTCAAACGGGGAGGAGTTGTTTATGGGAAACTTTGCAACCTCAGCTGTTGATGGTAAAGGCAAGGTGATCCTGAAGATGACTTCAGGAAAAGAACTGACTTTGAACGATGTCCTTTTTGTGCCGGACATTCGTAAGAACCTTGTCTCGGGGTCTCTCCTAAGCAAGCATGGCTTCCTCATGGTGTTTGAATCAGACAAGGTCGTGTTGACCAAGGGCGGGGTCTATGTGGGGAAGGGATATATGTCAAGTGGTATGTTTAAATTGAATGTAATGACACTTATCCCTAAGATTAATGAGAAAGCTTCTTCTTCTATTTATATGCTTGAGTCCCCTAATTTATGGCATGGTAGATTGGGTCATGTAAATTTTGACTCTTTACGTAGATTAATCAAGTTAGATCACATACCATCTTTCAAGATTAATCCACAACACAAGTGTGAAACTTGTGTAGAAGCAAAATTGACAAGGTCTTCTTTTCATTCTATTGAAAGAAGTACCCAGCCTTTGGGTTTAGTGCATAGTGATGTGTGTGACTTGAAAGTTGTACAATCACGTGGTGGCAACAAGTACTTCATCACTTTTAGTGATGATTGCACTAAATACTATTATGTGTATTTGCTTAAAAGCAAAGACAAGACTATTGATAAATTTATTCTTTTTAAGAATGAAGTTGAGAATCAATTAAGCTGGAAAATCAAGGCATTGAGAAGTGATCGTGGTGGTGAGTATGAATCCCCGTTTGCCGAGACTTGTGCTCAATTTGGGATTATTCACCAAACCACAGCGCCTTATTCGCCTCAGTCAAATGGTGTTGCTGAGCGGAAGAACAGGACGCTGAAAGAGATGATGAATGCAATGTTGATAAGTTCTGGGTTGCCACAAAACTTATGGGGGGAAGCAATTCTCTCCGCGAATTATATTCTTAATAGAATACCACGGAAGAAAGTGGACAAGACTCCATATGAGTTGTGGAAAGGTCCCCATTTAAGAGTAAAATACCTACGAATGTGGGGGTGTCTTGCAAAAGTGGCGGTACCTACACCCAAGCGGGTTAGGATAGGTCCGAAAATCGTGGATTGTATTTTTATTGGTTATGCACAAAATAGTAGTGCATATAGATTTCTTGTGCACAAGTCTGATATTTCAGATATACACAAGAATACTATCATGGAATCTAGAAGTGCATCTTTCTTTGAAGATGTATTGCCGTGTCGTTCCCAAGACAGGGTTCCGAGTTCCATGAAAGAAATAGATGATCACGAAAACGATCACATAGATGATCACATGGATGATCAAATAACTGATCAAGTAGATAATCAATCTGATGAAGTAGATGAGTCAAGAAGGAGTAAAAGGGCTAGAACCACAAAGTCTTTTGGTTCAGACTTCTTGACTTATATGTTAGAGAGAGAACCTCGAACGTTCCATGAAGCTGTGACTTCACCTGAAAGTCTTTTATGGAAAGAAGCAATTAAGAGTGAGATTGACTCTATCTTACAGAACCATACTTGGGAGTTGGTTGATCTACCCCCAAGCAGTAAGGCCTTGGGGAGTAAGTGGATCTTTCGAAGAAAGATGAAAGCGGATGGGTCAATTGACAAATATAAAGCTCGGCTAGTTATCAAAGGATATAGATAGCGAGAAGGCCTGGATTACTTTGATACGTATTCACCTGTGACAAGGATTACATCCATTCGCATGATGATTACAATAGCAGCTTTACGTGGTTTAGAAATACATCAGATGGATGTAAAGACAGCTTTCTTAAATGGAGATTTAGATAAAGAAATCTACATGGAGTAACCCGAGGGGTTTTCAGCTCCAGGGAAAAGTAAGAAAGTCTGTAAGCTTGTCAAGTCATTGTATGGTT